AGAAATAGCGGACTCCTCAGCTAAGGCTATACAAGATCAACAGAAGTCTCTCAACTCTTTATCTAGGGTGGTGCTAAATAATAGAATTGCTTTAGATTTCCTTCTGGCCCAACAAGGAGGCATCTGCGTGATAGCTAACACTTCTTGTTGTATGTGGATAAATTCCACTGGACAAGTTGAACAAGCTGTAACTAAAATCCAACAACATGCAGACTCGTTACACCAAGTACAATCTCTTCCAAGTGGGGAATCTGGTATGTTCAACAGGTTGTCTACTGATGTAGGGTCTTGGACTTATGCTTTCATCCCAGCAGGAATTATAATTTTAATCATGATTATTGTTTTATGTGGAATAATCGCATGTATTTCCCGATCTAGAAACATTTCTTCTCAAACAATTTTTCTCCCTTACAGTGACAGTAAAAAGAAAGACGATATGGAGTCTTGACCCGCTTGGCTCAGCTGACGACATTTCTCAAACACACTGTTACTCCATTAGTCAATCAGTTTCCCCCTCTGCCTCTGGTTAACACTGCCCGGAGCCTTAACTATGGCATGGTGAAGAAGACCTGTAAATAAGAGGCCATCGTCGGACATCATACAGCAAAAGCCAATGCAGAAGGCCCATGAGAAGGCAAAATGAGATGCCAGTAACTTGATCAAATACCTACTTTGAAGGTCTTGATCAAAAGGGGGAAATTGTTAAATTGAATAAAAATGGAGTCATGTGGTTGACAAAATGGCGTCAGTGGTCGAGTGGACAATGCCCCTAAGACTTGTTTTTTTTCCCCCAAAACTTAAGCCTAATAAAACCTCTTGTAATCACCTAGCTTTTCCTGTAAATCAGGCCACCCTTGTTGACCAATGAGATCCTGACAGTACTTAAATTGTATCAGCCAATCAGAAATAAGCTTCTTTTGTTTCTGCATTCTGTCAATAAAAGCCAGTACCTTTCCATTTTCAGTTTGGTGCTACCCGATTTTTGAATCTTCTGCCCAAATAAGCCTCATCCAATAGATTAATTTTATTATTGACTCAGTTCCTTTTGACACACACCACCCAGGCACTTCCAAGTACCAAGAGACAAGCACCCACACACATGATATTCACACTCACAGCACACGCAGTCCCTGGGTACACACAGGGCTGGGAGACCTAGGCAGTGTTCACAGGAGACATTCCAACCCTGCCTGGCCTAGCCCACAGAGCCTCTGCCACACTGGGATGAGGGGCAGCTGCTTGGTGACCCTGGCAACCTTCTGCAGATGACCTGCACCCACCCTCCCTCAGCACCCTGGAGTGGGCGGGCAGGGGTCTCTCGCCCTGCTGCCTCCCCTCCTGGTGTGGGCAGAGCCAGGCAGGGGTAGGCCTGGTACCTTCACTGTGCCCTCTCTGGGCCTTCCTGACTTCTGGTTGTGAAAGGAAGGCTCTGAGAAGGGCTCTGTCCCCTCACTGGGGACTGAGACCCATCCTGGACACTGTTTCCTGGGCCTTATCCCAGGTCCGCTCCCTTGTCCTCCCTTCAGTAAATGGCCACAGGGTCTGGTCTACCCTGGGCTGGCCACCACCAGGGAGGACCCCTGGTAAAGCCACCCTCACCCAGGGCAGGACCTGGGCCTAGAGCCCACAACAACATTAACATTTCTTGAATGAACAATGCTGGCTGCCCTTTCCACTGACCTAAGGATGAGTCAGCCCGCATGGCTGAGCCTTAGCCTTGTGCACCTGAGGCCAGCTGACAGGGCAAGACAGCACCTGGGAGGCTCTCAGCCTTAGCCCCTCCTCACTTGACCCTCTGACTGGAAGCAGTTATCCAGGGCAGGACTGAGGGCTGGGGTGTTGCCAACCTGTTCTCGTTTCACCTGACTACACACAGGCCTTGGCCCTGCTCTGGGCCTGGGCCACCCCACCTGCCTTTCTGGCTTCCTGCTCTCAGAAATGCCTTCCTGGGCTGTACACAGACACTTGTGTCTCAGGCCCCCAGGCACTTTCTAGAAACATCCTCTTTGGGATGAGGGCCTCACCCCAGGCCTGAGGGCAGGAGACACAGAGGCAGTCATTGTCCTCATAGGCTGGGGGCTGTTAAAGAGGAGACGCTGTCCCAAGTGTCCAGGTGCCAAGGCGCACCTCTCCCGGCTCCCAGCCAGTTGAGCCTCTGAGCGCATGTCACTGGCTGGGAATCTAGTATGAGCCTGAGCAGTGTCCACAGGAGAGGCTGGACCAGGCTGGTGGGGGGTTGAAGCGGGCGGGCCCACTGGAGGTCTGTTGGCCCAGGCAGGGCCATGACCCCTGCAACCAGAGGCTCCTCGCTCTGTCCCCAAGGAGGAAGGCCAGATGGGACTCTGGAAAGCAGGGCATCTGTTGGACCTTGCCCATTCTGGGAGGGTCTCCGAGCAACTGTCTCACAGGAGGCCTGCTGTGGGGTTGGGGCTAAGACCTCAGGTCCAGTGCAGCCAAAGCTTGGTCTCTGGGCTGTGAAAGGTCTCAGTGCCCATCTCCAAAAAGAGACCATCTCCACCCACCCCCACCCACAGTCTGGTCATGTGCGTGGAGAGGGAGGGGAGCTCCGGCCTCACCCTGGCGCCTTAGCTGGAGTTAGGTCTCTCCTTCCACCTCTGACAACACAGGAGAGAGCGTGGAGGTAGGCAGGTGACCAGAGGCCAGCAATTGGGTGGCGTGGCCTCTGTGGGCCCTAAAGGTCAGCAGTTGGCTACGGAGGTCTAGGGGCCAGGCCGCTCCAAGCCTGACTGGGCTCTGGCCAGGAGCTGGGCGCAGGATGGGAGAGGAGGGGGCTCCTCTTTCTACAAGCAGCTCCAGCTCCATGGTAGGGATGCCCTGCTGGCTCCAGGGCTGCAGAAGCAGCCTTGGGCAAGGGCAGAAGCCCTCAGGTGGGTGCAGGGTGGCAGATGCAGGCCTGCTGCCGGGGTCATGGGCTGCTGATGGACAGGGCGATGTGGCGGGCCCTGGGGGGTGAGGCCTGGACAGAGCAAGGTGGGAACACAGAGGTAGGACGTGGCCTGGCCCTCCCTGGGACAAAGAGTGACAGGAACGGGTATGACCCACAAGAGGAGCACCGAGCATGGGGTCAGGAGGAGGTGGTCACCACTACGAAAACTCCGGCTGCTCCAGCTCAGCCAACGCTACGGTGCTCAGTGTGTGTCACTACTACCTATGCTTCAGCTCAGACAAGCCAGTGGCACTTAAGTGTCCTCATGCACACCTGCAGGATGGCCAGAGTGGAGGCCTAAGGCAGAGAGGACCAGGGCTTCGCTGCCTCCATGTGAGTCACCATGGGAGCTGATTCCCAGGCCCCAGCACGTGCAGGCTGCCAGTTGCCGGGGTTGGAGGTGGTGCTGCAGCCCCACACCTTCGTGGGCCATGTCCCTGGGCCAGGCAGCACCCCTGGCAGCTCTGAGAGAGGATGGGGTACCAAGTTGCCACCTGGCCTCCTCTCCCAGGGAGGATTCAGGAAAAAGACGTAAAGACCATCTGCTAGGGTATGGCATGGGGGACCTGACTTCTCTTAGGGTGTTGTGGTGAGCAGCCAGGGCAGCCTGAACCCCGGGGCTACCTCTGCTCTGGGCCACAAGGGTCCTGGCAGGGAGGAGTGACCCCTGCTGGTTTCCAGGACCCAGGGGTCAAGGGCATGGCAGTAACTGGTTTGGGAAGGCAGGGGCATCATGGGCAGTCACTCATGGGTCCTCAGTTTCCCCACCTAGAATGAAATTCACACACCTACCCTGGAAACTCTGCAGGAAAGGACTCACTGGACAAAGGGCTGAAATGTTTTTATTAAATTTTTTTAGAGGCCTTTCAGGATCAGGTGGACAGAGAATGCCAAAGAGGCATGCTGCTTTAAGTTAAACACAGCCCCAAAATCTCACACTTAAACAAGCGGTATTAGAAAGGAGGGGATCAAGAGCTGGCGGGTTCTTTGGAACGAGGGCAGATACAATCAATACAACAGAACCCACGGTCCTGGGGAGTGCGGCAGGTGGGGCAGCCGACCCTCACCACACTGGATCCTGCAGAGAAAGGGTGTCTCTCTGCCACAATAACCGAAAGTTACCTCATGGAGTGACCTGCCCGTGACCCCAGGCCAGCTGCCTGGGCAGGGTCCCAGCCTAGGGCAGTAGCGGTGCCGTCCAGGCAGGGCCTCCACTGGGCTCTGAATGAACATGCAGACCCCACGCAGGCTATGGCCACCAGCAGCCTGGACTGCTCCGCAGTTCCATGAAATGACAAGCCAGAGCCATCAACACACACTGACGTCTGGTAGGTTAGGAGGGAAAATAGGGAGGACTGTCACTTCCAGTGGACAGAGGGGCTTGGAGGTAACCTCTGTCACCAGTCAGGGCCCGCCAAGGCGGCCCAGCCTGTGTCTCACCAAGCTGGCCGGCCAGATGCTACTACAGAATACAAAAATCATCCTTTGTAGGTCAGAGACCATGGAACAACAAAAAAATGGTGTCATTAAAACACAAGTTTGTCATACTGAAGCCAGAGCTTAAGGCAGTGAAGTCAGGAAAGTCACCCACTGTATCGCTGGCTGGGTCTCCCGTGACCCCAGAACACCCTGGTTCCAGGGAGGGATGTGTATGCGTGCGCTGTGTGTGCAAACATACATAGTCACGTGTGTCCTGTGACCTGGGACAGCCAGAAATTGGACATCTCTAAAACATAAAATGTAGAAGAACCATGTGTCTGGCACATGTACTCTATGGTTTGGGGCTTAAAAAACTATGTGCTTTCTCTGAGTGCTCACCATTTACACAGAACCGTCCTATTCACCTGTGGGGTGAGTTACAATCGGAACTGTCCTTGTCACTGCCTCCCAGCCCAGTGACAGTACTGGTGAGTGAGTCTACTTCACCACTTGCCACTGCTTTCAAACTGATGGAGCTGCACGCCTACAGGATGCCACACATCGCCACCCACTAAAGCATTCAAACAGCAATAGCAGGAAAACTGACTTTGCCAATGCTAAGATCGTAGTTTTCTTTTTTTTATAAAGTTTACCGCGAGTTGGAAAACATGTCATTCAATGTTTTGTAGCCGTATTAGTGGCACAGTAAAATCTAGGCAGGTGTGTATCACACAAAAATAGTTGGGAACCTCAGTAAGACTCATCGCTTAGCTTCCTAGTCCAGAGCTGAATAAGTCAAACCAGTCGGAGTCTATTTTCCCTGTAAGGAGGGTTCTCTGCTGTGTGTCTACATGATTTCAGAGCATCCTAAACAGGTAATTCCTACATTAAAACAATTTCATGGAAAACAACAGTACAATGAGTTTGGCCTTTTGGCACTGTAAAGGCAAACAGTGTAGGCGCACGGCAACACAGAGTCACTTTACAACAGACCGTCTGAAACACGGAGCAAAGAGTACAAGCACACAGAGCTCAATTACAAAAATACGGAGGTGGGAACGTCATGAATAATTTAACATCACCACACATAAACCTCTGTAAAACAGGCCAAATGAACAGCAAAATCTTTGACAAACAGCTGCTGTCACTGAAAGACGGGGCCTGGCTGGTTAGCGGATCACAGTTATGTGCGACGCAGCGATGTCCAGGTCTGTTTTAGAAGGGTACACCACCTTCAGGCTCCCTTCCATGTCTACCACCCGGACCTGTTCTACCACCAGTGGGGAATTCCCACCTTTTTCAGCACTTTCGTTAGTTTTGGGGTCCAGAAATTGTCCAGAAACTGTATCAGCTTCAGTATCCGAGAGTGATCCTTCCTCTTTATTGTCTAAAGTGTATTTGTTGATCTCTGCCATTTTCTGCAAATGAAAAATTTCTTTTGAATCCAGAGATTACAGGTAACCTGGGGAGGAAGTGTTACTCTGCGGCCCAATGGAGTAACAGCAAGAGGCTGCCATGCAAGAAATATGGTGGGAAAACAAAGCAGGAACTGTTCCCTATGGCTCAGAAGTCTGGCTCTGATGACAAGAGACTGCTGTCTGGGCTTACTCACCAGAATGAGGGCGTCCATGATATCTTTACACATCTGCAGACTAGTAGCACTTGTGACTTCCAAAAACAAGTCAGTAGTTGTTTTTTTAATCTTTAACAAACAAACAAATAAAAAATCAGAAAGGTTTCAGGAAAGAAGAAAGTGATCAAAAAGTGAACATCAGCAACTGCAACATTTAACCTGAAGAAAAATCTATACAATGGTATTATATAAACCAGGACTGTCACCTTCCTTAAGAAAAACACAAATTGGAATCCCGTGCATGTGACAATTCTTGGTGCACCACCAGCTGGACGTGGTGACCCGTGGCCCAGAAGTCCTGCACATCCTGGTCCTGAGCGCACCCCTTTCTCATCTGCTCATTCTGTCATGCACACCTTGTGTGAATGCACACCAGAACCCCCATACCTTCGTCTTGTCACTGTTGGTGATGGGCGGGAAGGAGATCACGTCGCCGTCCGCGTCCACGAGACAGGGGTAGTTGTCTTTTCCATCCAGTAAGTGAAGGTATCTGTGTGGAGAGAATGCAGATCACAAGGTAACAAGCACACCTGAAGGCTACACTGCACAAATGGGACTTCTGTAGACAAACCAGGTGTGAGATCAAGGGCACATGTGTAACATGCTTCAGGGAACAGTCTTCCAAAACCTGTGTTCACGTGCAAACAACAGCGGGGCTAGTCCATGTGATCTCAGGGGTTAGTGGAAGCAGGCCCCAGGATCTCTGCTTGGTAGCATGTTATAGCAGCATGCAGGTCTGCATAAAACGCAGCAGGCTCTCCAGCATTCTGGCAACTGGGATAAACTGGAATCTCATGCTGTAGCCAGGTTTTGGTATTCCTGATGCTAGTGGGTGATGGCATCTCACAAGTAGTGGCGACGTGGTGGGGATTTGTCACCCCTCTTGGTAACCCCAAGTGCCAGCCTCCTCCTCTATGCTGCTCCTAACACCTCCTGGTTTCTCTAAGGAAACACCCACCTCCCCACGTGGGGGCCCACCAAGCTCAGAGATGGTCACCGTCACTTCCTTTTGCCTCCCACAAGGCTCCTCAGCAACCCTGAAGTTCAGGGAGATTTCTGTTTCTCTCTTATAACCACAGGGAATGGTTTCCAACTTCTGGTCACTTCAGGAGTTTGTTCAGTAGCACAAGTGGGTTAAACTGAAGATGGCAGGCTGTGGTTGGCCCTGTGCTGAGGTGGTGCACATGGCGAGGCTGGCAGACCCCCAAGGACACCGAGGGCCACACGCACTCCCTCTTACACCACGGCCACTGGTCCCTCTCCACAGGGTCTGCTGTGGGTAGAGGCTGACTGACCTGTGCAAGCCTGAGACGTTCTGCCTCTTTTTCTGCTTCCTCTGCTCCTCGGCCTCCAGCTGGAGCTGCCGCACCAGGTCCTTGGCCTTGATCTCTCGCCGGCCCAAGGGGACGATCTATTGGGGCAGAAAACCACAGTCAACCTTTATGAAGATAGACCTGTGTTAGGACGACAGCCACAAACTCGCCTGTCCCGTGGACTCTGGTTTTAAACATGAACAATCACTCTCATTGCTTTCCTTCATTATCTCTGGGACAGCGAGAGGCACTCAGGAGAGCTGGTGATTCCAAGTGAGACTCAAGCTGACCTCGTCACCATGTGGTCACCCGACAAGAAGCTGGCATGCAGGGTGCCTCCAGGCGTCACTTTTGGGGATGCAGATGCCCAAACACTCATGTACCGTTGAAACTAAGCTTAACCTTAAATCAGCTAATACACACCTGAGTTTCTGCACACCTACAGGAGGCCAAGGCAGGTATGAGCTCTGCATAAGAGTCTGCACAGGGGATGCCCGGGGACCCCCACCATCCCAGGGACCCCAGCACTCTGCACAGGTCCAGCGAACACAAACAGGACCGCAGAGGAACTGCTCACACGAAAGGAAACCCCATGCTAGCAGTTCTGCAATTGGGCCAAAATCTCTGGTTAAAAATGAGTGAGCAAATGAAGGAAACTACTTGCAAACTACTACCTCCTTTGATGAGCATTCAAATAGCTAAGCAATCCAAAGTAACCATAAACCTGGCCCATGTTTATTTACATGAATGTATTTTATGTGGTGGCAAGTTCTACTTTAACACGCTCTGACTCAACCGTTATCTGAAAATATCTACATCGAAGTATACTGTTTCTGGAAAATCTTGAAAGGTAGAACCTCAACTCCCAGCCAAGGAAGGAGCGGTTCGGGGCACCTTGAGGTCCTGCGGCGGCCGGGCCCCGTACAGCAGGGGCCCCCGGATGGCCTTGAGGTCGTGGGTGGCGATGGTTGCTGCTGTCCTCTTCTCACAAAGGTCCTCATGGAGCTTCGTCTGTAACACAAGGCCAAAGCATCAGTGAATCTCAGCACGCCCAGGAGCAGAGAGGTGTCTGCACAGGCCCTGGGCCTGACCTGTGCATGTGGGGAGCCTCCTCCTTGCTCACTCGTCATCGCCCGGAGCCTCATCACTCACCTCCACCAACGGCTCCTCCTGGGGCTCTCTCCTTTGCCTTGCTAACCAAGTACTTATTCTGTTGACTCATTCAGGAAAACTATTTTATCTGTTCATCAGCACAATTTCTCCTTTCTCTAACTCTAGAACACAGTATTTAAAATTTCGAAGAACTGATTATGAACTAAAATTTATGACTGAATAAACAAACGTATAATTTAAAAATGAAAAAATAATCCCAGCATGTTTTTCTTCCAAAGCACGGACCTCGAAGCTCTAACAGCTGGCCCTGCGAACCTGCTTGCTTCACCTCAAACCTGAAGGAGAAGGGGCTCCAAACGTGACCAGGCACCACCTCCCACAAAGCTCGCTGGCCACCCAAGGGCCACACCCTGGCTTCCCCTCATGCAAAGATGGGCATGTTTTTAAAAGCTAGAAGGCAGACTTCACAGAAATACTAATCAGGAAATTAGTCTAGCCAGAACCCTATAAACTGAAGTATCCACGTAAAAACAAGCTGGCCAAGAGAGCTGATGATTTAAAAAAAAAAAAAAAAATTGCCGTAGACATCGACCCCAACTCCTGGTGACCCCATGTGTATCAGAGTAGAGCTGTGCTCTACAGGGTTTTCAATGGCTAATTTTTTGGAAGTAGAATGCCAGGGCTTTCTTCCAAGGCACCTCTGGATGAGCTTAACCCGTCAACCTTTCAGTCAGCAGCAGTGTGCTAACTGCTTGCAGTACCCAGGAACTCTGATAGTTTTAATGCTATCTTATATAAATGTGGTTTATTGCAGAAACCAAAAAATCTACCAAAGTATCAGAAAACTCGAAGAACACTGATTTGCAATTTCAATAAATGGGTAAGAGGTAACTGGCCGCTCTCCTGACCCGGGCAAGATTCAACATGAAACACAGGAGGGGTCTGGATGTCTGTTAAAAATGGGGCATTCCTTCCTGGAGCCATGGAGGCTAGATGAACCCTTGAAACTAGAGCCCTGAGATCATCTTTAAACCTTAAACCAAAAATACTGCCTGGAGTCTGAAAACCAAACGATAGTTTAGCTTAACTAGAAAAAAATGTCTGCCTTGAGGATTATGCTCTTTTAAGAATTATCTGTATGGGATCAAAGTGACAACAGCAACTTGAAAGATTAGATAGGAACCTTAGGGAACAGTGAGTTCATGTTAATGGGGGAGGAACAACTCAGAAAAGGAGGCTGAGAATGGTTGCACAACTCAAAGAATGTAATCAGTGTCACTAAATGGGACATGCAGAAACTGTGGAATTGGTATATGTTTTGTGGATATATTCTCAACAATAACAAAATAAATACATTAAACTAAATTTGGAAAAAAGGGGGGGCATTCTTGATTTCCAAGGAACACACTGCTCCTGCTCCCAGGTCCAAGATGAGGGATGAGCGCTCACACAGAGCACAGCGTGGGCACACATCACATCACGTCATCCCCTCCAACATCTGACGACCTGTGTCCTGCTATGGTCCCATTCTCACAGTGAGGAAACTGAGGCACGGAGAAGCCAGGGCACTGTACTATGCTGCCTCTTTGTTAACACAACCCACTCATTCCCGCCCACGGTGCCCCTGACCCCAGCTGCAGACATGAGTGAGCATAGGCCCTACCTGGGCGGTGAGGAAGCGCTTGAGCGCGTTTCCGGGTTCTAGGTACATGCCCCTCACAATAGCACCCACGATGAAGGGCCGCACGTCCCTGACCTCGGGGTGGACATTCACCACCAGGGGTGCAGGGTTCTCGGAGACGTGCAGGACCCTGAGCAGCAGCCTGCGTGCGGCCTCCAGCTCCTCCTCCCCCTCGCCGCCCTCCCTCTTCTGCTTCTTCTCCCTCTTCTTCTTCCGGCTCTCCTCCTTCTCGGTGCCCTCGGCCTTGGCCCGGCCCTTCCCGCCACCCCGGCCGCCAACGCGCAGGTACTCCAGGATGGACTTGGTCTGGCAGCCGTGCACCATCTTTTCCAGGCGCTTGTCCCTCAGCTTGTTGCCCTTGAAGTGGATCTCCTTGAGCTTCGGGCAGTCGGCCAGTGCGGCTGGGATCTCACTGAGCTGGTTGTTGGAGAGGTCTAGCGTCTGGGGAGACACAGAAGGGACGAGTCAGACCACTGGGCTTTGGAAGAAGACCGCAGAGGTCCTGTCTCCAGAGAAGTGTTAAAAGAACACAGACATTCAGCGAGAGCCCCCATGTTTTTGTCTAAGATGCCCCTCAGAAGCCACTGCTACAGTGGAAGACCTGGTTTTTTGCTGTGTTACGCACCCTGCACAAATAGCCAGCTCTGCGCTGCACCTCATCACCAACACTCTACCCATCCATGACGTCACTAGCCCTAAGAGATTTGCTAATGGGAAGGGGTTAGCAATAATTGTTGTTATTAGGACCTGTCAAGTTAATTTTTGATTCAGTGTCCCTATGTGACAGAGTAGAACTGCCCCATAGGGATTTCTAGGCCGTAATCTTTATGGGGAGGAGCTCTTGTGGCTCAATGGTTAAGTGCTCGACTGCTAACCTAAAGGCCAGCAGTTTGAAACTACCAGCCACTCCTCAGGAGAAAAGACCTGGCCATCTGCTCCCATAAAGATTACAGCCTAGGAAACCCTATAGGGCAGTTCTACCCTGTCCTATAAATGCTGACAAACCAGCCTCTAGAGACATCCAGCCTAGAACATTAATAGGGCTTTCTCCTTTGGAGGTGAGATTGTGATTGATTTCTCATTTTGCTTCTCCCTAATTTTCAACTTTTTTAACATTCATTATTCATTGCTTATAAAAATTTTAACCTCATTTTTAAAATTTAAAAACATTAATTCATGTTTGAAATGTATAGTTACATAAGGTTAAAAATGCATTAAGTCTTATAATCTGTAGCACAATTTAGGAAACCCTGGTGGTACAGTGGTTAAGTGCTATGGCTGCTAACCAAAAGGTCGGCAGTTCAAATCCACCAGGTGCTCTGTGCAAACCCTACGGGGCAGTTCTACTCTGTCCTATAGTCACTATAAGTTGGAATTGACCCAACAGAAATGGGTAAGCTTTTTTATAGGGTCGCTATTGACTCGGAATTGACTCCACAGCACACAACGCTCTTTATAGGAACAGATCTCTAGCTCTTTTCTCCTGCACAAGTGCTGGGAGGGTTTGAACTTCCAACATTTCAGTTAGCAACCGGGCACTTAACTGTTGTACCACCAGGGCTCCTTTAGCAATGATTTGTTATCAACAACTGCTATTGAAATTTTTTTCATACTCAAACATCTTACTCTTCTTGCTCAACTGTAAGTTCCCTGATGGCAACTACTGCAAAAATTCCAATCAATCCTTAGGTTGGGGAAAAAAGATAAGGGACAGGTTTTGGTTATGAAATGTGGACTTGCTTCAGAAACAAGTACATACTTCTTTAGATGGAGAAATAGGTTCCCCACAAAATGGTGTTATTTTTTAAAATTAAATGCTAAAAAGAAAGCATACAGCAAAAACAGTAAATAACATTACCGTCCTTGATACTGAAGTTCAAAGTCACCAGCAATATAACATGCAATGTTCTCACGTTTCATGTGTGAAGAAAAATGACAAACTGCCTTTAAAAATGGTGCTGGGTTCTCAAGCCCTTCCACGACCCACAAGAAGTACGTGTGCAGCCTATGTTACAGACCCTCCAACTGTGGCCAGATCAGACTTTGACATGATGGCCACTGGCATGCCTGAGACAATGATAAGATCAAAGCAGCCAGCCACCTTCCATGCTTAGAGG